GCCTGATTTGAAGTGGGACGATCTACCTCTAATCTGGGGCACACCTTCTGTTGGACGCCTATATAAGGACAAGGAGGAAGGAAGCTTCACCCTTTGCCTGCTTGCTCTTCCCTCCACAGCAAGTCCATTCCTTCACTGGCATCAGAGTCAACTTCCTCAGGATTCCAGTGTATACTGAAGACCCGTTGAGACGTCCAGCCTTGTGGATTCAACAACTACTGGATTCTTAATACTTCTGTTAATAGGCAGCCACTGTTAGAACAGCTGGACCACAGCCCGCAAATCATTCTCATAGCCCCCTCATAACGTGAGGGCAGTGGGGAGAGAATCAGAGAGACAGAGACAGAGGACAGAAAGAAAGAGAGAGGTTCATTCTATAAGTTCTGTTACTCTAGAGAAGCCTTATTAATACAGTAGTATGGATGAAAATGGCCCTCATAGGTTCATATATTCGAAAGTTTTGTTTCTAGTTAGTGGAACTGTTTGGGAAGAATTAGGAGATGTGACCTGTTGGAGGAGGTGTGCCACTGGAAGTGGGATTTTGAAAGTTTAAAAGCCCATGCCAGTCCCAGTCTCTCTCTTTCTGCCTGCTGCCTGCAGATCAGGATGCAGCCCTCATCTACTGCTCCAGCACCAAGCCTGTCTGCTTGCTGTCTGCTTCCTACCATGATAGTCATGGGCTCATCCTCTGAAATCACAAGCAAGCTCCGAACTAAAATGCTTTCTTTTATAAGTTGCGTTGGTCATGATATCTCTTCACAGCAACAGAACAGTAATCAAGACAGAAGTTGGTACCAAGGCCTGGGGTATAGCTGTGACAGGCCTGACCATGCTGTTTGTTGAAGAAACATGGAAGACTGTTACTTTGGATTAAAAAAGTAGTTGATCACTTCAAGCAGGATTAATGGGCCATCTTAGTAGGAGACTGGAAGACAGTAGTTCTGAGAGCAATGTGGAGATCCAGCCTAAGAGATTTTAGAGGGTAATAACACTAGAGACCATTCTTGAGATATTTTGACTTCTTTCTGCCCTTGCCCTAAAAGATCTGCCAGAGGCTGAAGTTTTGGACTAATTTGTTAGCAGAGAAATTTCAAGACAACCTGGTATTGACTATGTCACCTGGTTATAGAGCAAGTGGGGCAAAGAGAAATACAAAATGTACAGTTTGAGGAGAAAAAGAGCACCAACAAGTTTAATGTGGGAGCCAACACTGGTGCTTAAGGAGATGAGAAGTTTAAAGAAAGGCCTGGTCCTGAATGGAATAAAGGGAGTGGTATCCTCAGGCAAGACCCCACCCAGCTAATCTTGCAACCCCATGAAGGGAATAAGCCTGAGCGATTTTCTCTGCTTAAAAAGCATCAAGTCAAAGCTTATGCAAATGTAAGTCACAGAGTGGGCCAGGTTTCAGCCTGAGCAGGCAGCAAAGCTTGGCAGCTTCAGCCATGTGGTTCTGGTTTTATCGAGAAGGATGCAGAAGTAAAAGGGTTGTGGAAACTTTTGTGACTGGGAATCCCTGTATGGAGGCCCAGAGAGGCCGTTGCCTGAAGCTGTGAAGCTGAAGCCTGGATTACTTTGGAGACCACAAGATGTTGAAGGTGCGAGAGTCTTGGGATACCAGCCAAAGGGAGCTGCAGACAGGGAGTGGAAACTGCCCAAGAGAGAGAAGTGTGTTGCAGTCAGGAAAGCTGGAAAGAGCAGGAGATATGAGAATTCATCTAATAAACCCTCTACTATCAGACATGCACACGCAGAATTTGGAGTTTGCCCTGCTGGGTTTCATTCTTGCCTTGGCCCACTACACTACTTTTTTTTTCCCCCCCTTTTGGAATGATAAAGTAAATTCTGTGCCATTCTATGTTGGGAGTATGTGATCTGTTTTTTGATTTTGCTTTTACATGGGGTTACAGCCAAGAGATTGCTGAGTCTCAGAAGAAAGTTTGGACTTTGAAGTAGTCTTCAGAAGGTGAAAGACTATGGGATGTTTGAAATTGGGCTGAATGCATTTTACATTACCATATGGCTACAAGCCGATGGGGGCCAGAGAATGGAATGTGGTGGTTTGAATGAGAATGGTCCCTATAGGCTCAGATGTTGGAGTGCTTGGTCCCCAGATGATGGAACTGTTTGAGGAGGTGTGTCACTGAAGGTGGGCTTTTGAACTTTCAAAAAGTTCAAAAAAGATTGCCAGGCCCAGTCTCTCTCTCTGCCCACTGTCTGCAGATCAGGATGGAAGCCCTCAGCTGCTGCCCCAGCACCATGCCTGCCTGCCTGCTGTGAGGCTCCCTGTTGTAATGGTGCTACTCACCCTCTGAAACCATAAGCAAGCCAGCAATTAAGCGCTTTCTTTTAAAAGTTGCCTTGGTCATGGTGTCTCGTCTTAGCAATAGTAACTCTAACTTGGGTTGACCTGATTTGTTTGCTTGCTTGCTTTTGTTTTTGTTTGTTTGCACAGAACTGTCTAGTTGTTTTGGCATTGTTCACTGAGAAATCACCTGCCTGTGCTGGAGCGCCTTAGCATCTTTATCAAAAGTCAGTTGACCAAGAGTGTGTATTCCCCATTCTGTTCTACCAATCGATATCTACCATTACACCAGTACCTCATTATCATAGTTACTTTTTTTTTTTTAAAGATTTATTTATTTATTATGTATACAGTGTTCTGTCTGCATGTATGCCTGCAGGCCAGAAGAGGGCGCCAGATCTTGTTACAGATGGTTGTGAGCCATCATGTGGTTGCCGGGAATTGAACTTAGGACCTCTGGAAGAGCAGCCAGTGCTCTTAACCACTGAGCCATCTCTCCAGTCCCATAGTTACTTTTTACTTCATATATGTTTTTACATCATTACCTTTTAATATTTTCAAATCAGTTGGTCTAATTACCTTTGATATGATAATGACCAAACTCTTAAGAATTTTTGCAAACATAGTAAAAATCCTTCTAGCATAGCTGTGTCTCTACAGATAAAAAAGTCTTTGTGTGTTCTTTGTCTGTGTCCTGAAATGTGATAAAACCTATTACAGTGGCTCTTCATCCCACTGCTTCTATTCCTGTGATTGATTTCCTTGGGTGTTGATTTTACACACACACACACACACACACACACACACACACACACTCTATCTATCTATCTATCTATCTATCTAATAGATAAAAATCATTTACATATGCAAATATAAATGCCCAGTGCTTGACACAAAATAGGTACCATAGAGTAGGTGGGGTAGAGAGTCCTCCTTATCATTGTTCTCATCATGAAGGCAAACACACTTTGCTTCCATTGTGCACCCAACATATGCACACCATTCCCTCTAGCTTTGCCCCACTTACTGACCCAGCTGAACTCCCTCCATCAGTTTGTGATGATGCCTGGGTTCCAGATTGGGAATTGCAGTAGACACACTGAAGCGGCTCCTTGTGGTTTGAATTTGCATTTCCCTGTTGATTCATGGTGTTGATCGGAAGAGCACTGTGTGCTTCCTGAGACTTGATAGAAAACTCTGCTGTTATTGCCATCTGAGTACAATTTAAATGCTTTCTTCCTAGATTCATAACAGAACCTTCTCACACTGATCCTTTTTCAAGGATCTTGCAGTCACCTATCCATGAGACCATTCTGTGTTTTTTCCTGATCAAATTAGCATGTTATTACCCAAATAGATTTCTGAAAGCAAGATTTCATGGAGTGCTTTCTCCCCTGGATTTAATTTTCTCCTTCTTCTCTTCCTCCTCCTCCTCCTCCTCTTCCTCCTCCTCCTTCTCCTCCTCCTCCTCCTCCTCCTCCACAGTTTAAATAAGAGTTGTCCTGCAACAATCCTGAGAGAGACCCTGCTGTGGTTTCTTCTCCACTGAGAGATTAATATGTTCCCATCATTGGGGTTCTGCCGTATATCAGTATTCTGTGCAGGACAAAGCTTGACAATCTCTGACACACAGTTCCCAAAAGTAAAGTTTTAAGAAATGGTGTGCATGTGCGTGTGTGTGTGTGTATGTGTGTGTGTGTGTGTGTGTGTGTGTGTGTGTGTGTGTGTGTGTTCATGTCAAAGACTTGGGAAAGGACAAATAATGAGCTTTAACCACCAGGGTTCTGTCTCTACCCCCTTGCTTGATGAAACCAGTCAATTTTGTGTTCAGATTCAGCAAAACTCCACTCTGAGCAGTGTTAATGACTTTCAGTGGGGGAAAGCACCCGAGAGTTCTCTTACAGCATTTGGAAGGGAAGGAGGGGAGGGGAGGCTGACAGGCAACACTGTTAAATGTTAAATCAAAAGCTGAAAAGTCATTGAATGCAAAATAATTCAAATTCTGAGTGAGAGAGTTCAGGGTGGGGGGGGGACTGCTCAGTACGGAGGGGGAAAGATGTCAAACCAGCAGTAACTGAGGGAAAAGTCAACTGAAGGGTGGATAGCTTCCGTCTCAGGAGCGAAGGGCTAAATCAGGGTGAGGAGAATGATGAGCCCTTGAGAAGATAGATGGGGAAATCAGGAGAAACTGCTGGCTGAGCAAGAAGTGCAGGCCAGAGGCTGAGGGGCCCCACCCTGGGCGGACGAGGATCTGAGAGCAGAGTGAAAAACTGCCAAGAGTGGAAATATGAATTAACGAGGGTGACCTTACAGAAATAGAAAGTCATGGCCTTTCTGTAAAATCTAGAGAGAAAAGATGAGGCTATTAACTAGCTAGGAATCAAAGGCATCGCAGGTTGGGGTTCTAAGAGTTCCTGAGAGATCACACAGCATCCAACCCTTGCATTTTCCTGCTGGGCCAACAGCCAGAAGGAATGAGCCATCTGCCCAAGCCGGTCCACACGGTATAATATGCTTGCATGTTTTAAAAGAGAAACAATTTTCCTAATCTTTAGAGCAACTGCAGACTTGTAGAAGACTCAGAGTTTTGTTACTGTTTTTGTTGTTGCTGCTGTTTTTTCTTTTTTCTTTTCTTTTCTTTCTTTCTTTCTTTTTTTTTTTTTTAATATAGTCTCATGTAGCCCATGCTGGCCTCAAACTTGGTGTGTAACGAAGGATGACCTTGAATTTCTGATCTTCCTGCCTCCATATCCCCAGTTTTGGGCCAGCGGTTGTTTGCTACCACACTTGGTTTAGGTAATGCTGGGTGTAGTTGGTTGTTTTTTCACTCTTTGCTCTTTTACTCTTTTGGGGGCCCACCACCCAGTTCCCAAATAAATCAGCCAGAATGCCTGGCCTTAGCTTGGCTTGTTTCTAGCCAGCTTTTCGTAACTTAAATGATCGTGCCTACCTTTTGCCTCCTGGCTTTTACCTTTCTCTATTTCTGTATGCTTTTCTTTCCTTCTTATTCCATGTCTGACTGTGTGGCTAGGTGGCTGACCTCTTTTTTTCTTGCTTCTTGATCTCTCTTGCTCCTTTCTCCTCTGCTTGCCAGCCCTGCCTACCCTTTCTCCTGCCTTGCTATTGGCTGTTCAGCTCTTTATTAGACCAATCAGATGTTTTAGACAGGCAAAGTAACACAGCTTTACAGAGTTAAAAAAATGCAACATAAAGGAATACAACACACCTTTACATTATTAAACAAATATCCCAGAGCATAAAAAAAGGTAACACATTTTAAAATAATATTCCACAACAGCGGGGGCTTTGTGCCTGGCAGGCAAACACTATCCCAACTGAGGTACATCCCCAGTCCACGCTACCTTTTTTTTTTTTAATGCAAGTTGTTTTTGTTTTGTGTTTTTACTTTCTTTTTTTATGCAATTTGTTTTTGTTTTGTGTTTTTACTTTTTTTTTTTTAAGATTTATTTATCTATTATGTGTACAGTATTCTGCCTGCACATATTCCTGCAGGCCAGAAGAGGGCACCAGATCTCATTACAGATGGTTTTCAGCCACCATGTGGTTGCTGGGAATTGAACTCAGGACCTTTAGAAGAACAAACAGTGCTCTTAACCTCTGAGCCATCTCTCCAGCCCCCCACGCTACCTTTTAAAATGTCTTAGTTGCATGTAACTCTCAGTTCCTTCACATCCCTCTTTGAAAAGCAGCAAGTTCGTTAACTTCCCTGAGAACTGAAGTTTATTTTGTGAGATTAATTTAAATGCTGTTTTAAAATTCTTTAAAATAAATATCATCCACATATTTGGTGCTACATCGAAAGTTCCATATACCTTGATTAAAAAAAAAAAGAAAATGAACAGGCACACTATTTGAACAATGTCGTGGCATACAAGTTCAATATTGTGTACCAGAGGCAGCGAGGATAAGACCAAGAAAGAGCTCGTGGCTTCTGACCCCCTCCCCAGCCTGGGCCTCTCTGGAGCTGGAAGAAGAGTGGACTCTTCCTGTCTTCTTCCAGCCCACCTTCTGCATTACCCTTCATCATCTTTCTCTCTTTTGTTTTTCCTGTTAGTTTCTGGGTTTTTTTTTGTTGTTGTTGTTTGTTCTTGTTTTTGTTTGTTTGGTTTTTCTTTGAGGTGGCATCTCTCAAGCCCAGGCAGGTCCAGAACTCACTATGTAGCCGAGGCTAGCCTTAAACTCCTGATCCTCCTGCCTCTACCTCCCAAGTGCTGGGATTACAGGCATGCACCACCACACAGACCACAGCTACCTTTCTTGAATGCCTATCTGGTCATAGCTCTCTCTTCCTAACCACAGTCCACGTCCGACACTACTTTCCACCCAGATCCTCTCCTGTGCTCTCACTCTCCACTTAAGTTCTGCTCCTCATCTTTTATTCCTGGCCTATCGGGCCAGTTTACTATCCCTCTGAGCTGTGAGTGCTTCTGTCCCTCCTTCCCTCCTTCCCTACCCAGAGATGAATCTGTCCCATCTGATGGAACAAGTGAAGACTTCACTGTTTTCAGATAAGTCTTCCTTAGGTTCAGTGGTGCCTAGGGACTCCTCTGATGCTGAGCTACTGAATCAGTATCTCCAGGGTGAGGCCAAATCACTCTGCTTTCTAAAGAGATTCGTCCAAGGCTCAGAGGAGCCATACTCTGTCAAAATTAACACTCCGCCGATAGCATCTCACTCCTTCATGACATTTATTTGAATACCTGTAATGTCTTGTTGCATCGATCCGTGTACACATGTGTTAGTGGTTTTCAAACCTCAACAGTGCTTACAAGATTCATCTAAGAAATCTCTTCAGAAAGCAGAGTGCCTTGGCCTCACCCCCAAAGACACCAATTCAATAGCCGCGTGTCAGAGGGGTCCCCAGGCTCCGCTGAGCTTAAGGAGCGCTTATCCGAAAGCAGGGAAGTCTTCGCTTGTTCCAGGCACCCATTTGCCAACGGTGGAGAGCGAGCTGGTCGGTTCTACCCACTTCTCCTCAACCACTGACTCCCCAGCGTATCAACTCCAGAGATCCCAACACCTCCTCTCTCCCTTCCCACTCTCTTGGAGGTAGAATATGCAAAACTCATTTATATTCCCGCAAGTAGGTGAGAATACATTCTGGGCCATCACCATTCAATAATGGAAGCTTTGTGCCAAGTAGTGACAGGTGAGAGGAATGATTTCATTTTTTCACTCTGACAATTGGGTGAAGCAGATATCTGGCAGTTCTGCAAAGGTTTTATGCCCACATAGTTACCCAAGGGATCTGCTTAGCAACCAAGAGTCGCTGCAAGGAGGAGACGAAGCAGATGCTTCTCCCAGCAGCATCTCGGGACTGAGCTGCTGAGGAGCAGGGCTGCAAGAGGGGCAGTCCTGCTTGGGTTACTGCTTGTTCATCAGTTCCCCAAAAGTCCAATCCTGCATGCCCGGGTCATTTCCCATCCCCAGAGCCCACGAAGAGCTTGCCATACAAGGAGCGTATCCCCTCACTGACACTGATTGTGTTTTATTACATTTCTTCTTTGTGTAACCGTTATGTTCAACTATGAAAGTCAACCAATTTGTTGAAGTTTTGAAGGGGTCCAATAAATAGCACTTGTCTTCTGTGGTTTATTTACTGTTCCCGGTAAGACTGATACCATAGAACCGCACTTAGGACTGCAAGTTGGCTCCCAAACTCTGAGCTCCAGAGCCGAACTTAACCTCTGGTCTGTGGGTCTCACATCCTTCCTGCTTCCAATCTTCGGAGCTGGAGTGAGCTCGGGTACTTTGAAGGAGTAGCTTCTGGCTGGTAGGGTGAGTCGGTAGAGAACGGGGAAGAACAGGGGCTAGAAACTTCCAGGTTCTTTTAAACCAGTCTAGAAACTCTTTCAGCAACCCTGGGTAGAGTGAGGTGGGGACCATGAGGAACCTCGGTACGATCAGGATCCAGGCACTCCCCAGCCCAGTCAGATCTTCTAATGAAGATCTGGAAAACGCGAAAGAGCCAAAGAACAATGGAAAAGTGACAAGGAATCCGAGAGCTGTTACTTCTCTTCTAAGACAGCCATTTCTTACCTTTCAGTGTTTCTTGAGATGGAATTTTACATTTCATTTTATAATTAACGCGCTATTATTTCTTCATAAACATTTTGATGTTAAGCCTCTGGTTCTTTCAATTTTGTAGCTCAGAAACTGAGAAGCATGATTGGTTTAGATTTTTAATTTATCTGTTGTATTAGAGCATCTTTCTGTGTTGATAGAGAAAACCCGATGCTGGGTGACTATGGGACAGTCCATCTTCTGCGGGTACAAGAGTGAACTCAATAAACCCTGCCTCCTGGTACTTCCTTTGGCCTTTTCTGCTGTTTTAGCCTATATTACAGATAATGTTGTGATGAACTTCCTTGTCCCTCATTTGCCCCCAATAGTTTTTCCCTTTAAAACTTAGTCTTTGAGCCAATGAGATGGCTCAGGGGGGGTAAAGGTGCTTACTCCCCCGAGAGAGCCACTCCACAAAGCTGTCCTCTGATCTCCACACTCACACCATGGTGCAGGTGCTTACACTCACACATCTCACACACACACACACACACACACACACACACACACACACACACACACACACTACTACTGCTACTACTAATAATAATAATAATAATTTTAGAAATTAAAAATAAAGTAAAAAATTGATCTTTTAATTTAGAACACTTACTTTTCCAAAGCTCTTGGGTTCACATGACCAACTTGCTCCACTGAAGTTAACCCCCCAAGGATCTGGAGAGCAGATGCCTCAGGGCTCTAAAAACGTGAGGCATTAGACACTGTAAGACACATCTGTTGTGGGAGGAACGGGTAAGTCAGTGTTGTATGAAAGATGAAATTTCCTAGCTGTTGAGAGATGTGTATGGCCCCAGTTCTCTGGATCCCACCTCCTTCCAACCCATTTTCTGGCCTCTTATTAGAGGATGAAGACTTCCTCGAGGAGCCCCATGACCTGCTCCTCAGAACCACAGGCAGATGCAGGCTTGGATTGTGACACATGCAAACCTATTATATTTACCAGGGAAAAAGAGAATGTTCTCAGCTCTTGGCTCTACCAAAGAATAACATGCCCTAGTAAAATTAGTCTTGTGGACATTGCTTATCAGGGTGGTTCCTGCCTAGGATAACAAGAAGATTCCAGAGGCTAAATATGTTCAAAGCTTTGGTTCTTTGCTGGAGTACAGATTATCTGGAGACTCAGATATCTGGGGGATTTAGGCAAAGGTTTTAGATTGGATTTTGGTTCATCTTTTCCCAGTAAGATGGTCAAAAGACTTCTTGGGGTAAGCTCTTTCAAGCTATACCAGCTTATGTTTAAATATTTCTAAAATTGAGGGGCACATAAGATTTCTGAACCAGGCTGCACTAGGAGAAAGCTCTATGTGAGAGAGCCAAAGAATTCTCCAGGCTCACCACCATGGATAATGGGTTTGGGGTGAGACTAGGGTAGTCTGAACATACAGTCTCTTGGCAAGGAAAGGTCCAAGAAGACATCTTTTTTTTTTCCAAATAGGGTGGGGCTTCAGAGTGCTGAGCTATGTATTAGTGGGATGTATGCCCCTGGAGAAAGACAGCCTGCCCTGGGGCTTCTTCCAAAGGAATTTTAGAGTTGAATTGTCTAGAAATGGCACCTCATCCACCCAGTAAGGTTCTGAGAGTTGGTTCAGGTGTCCTCCAAACCCCTTTCTCCCCTGGGGGTCATGGCATTCTCCCCAAGAAGAACAAGCACATTTCAGAAAAGGAGATTCAGACACAATCCCAGGCCTTAAAGACCCTCTGTGCTTCAGAGACATGGAAAGAAGGCCTGGAGGTTGTTTTCTTGAATTCTCTGCAGGGTGAGATCTACTGCTTTGGAACAGTCCCAGGCTCTCTCCAGCTCTCTCAGGCTGAGGGAGGGGGGTTGGGGGGTAAGGGGGTGGGGGAAGCCTTCTCCAGACAACCCTTACCTGAGATGGCTTCTCCAGGAGAGGACCAAAGGTGTCCGCAGGGGCAGCTGGAGAGAAGGGGACCTCTAGTCCGGCTGGGGTTGAGCCTTCTCATATTGGGGCTTCCGGAATCATTCTCTCCACCCCCATTGGAAAGACAAAGAGATCTAAGGTGAACTGGATGGTAATTCAGAGAATTTTAGTCCAACACTGAAAGAAGCTGCAAAGGTTAAGATGGGCAAAGCAAACAAACCACCAAAAACTTCATTTAACATTTCAGTATAAAGGTAAAATAATTCAAATACACGAGGCTGAAAAATGGGAGAAATTAAAGACTTCAAATTGAAAAACTGAAACATCAGACATTTTGTGCATAGGAAGTTAACAGAAAAGTTAGAATTCTAATTAAAGAGTGCTCAGAGTATACTTTAAAAAAAAAAAAAACAAGATACGACTAGAAGAGATTTAAAATAACATAAATGGAAGAACTCCAGCAGAGACTGAAACCTAAAAATTTATGCTACACATGATTGAAATAAAAGCCAAGATCTGTGAGGTAGGTCCTAAAAAGTGTCAGTCGTGCTAACAACAGCAGGGGACTCACACATGTGAGTGTGTCCTGAGATAATGCACTTGCGCAGAGAAACAGTTCATTTTGGTTCACCGTTCAGAGGTTCAAATCCGTGATTAAGGTCCCATTGCTTTGTGGAGGGAGCAAGGCACAACAGGAGTGAGCAAACCACTAACCAGGAAGTGAGAGAGAGAGAGGAAGTGTCTGCCATCCCATGATCTATCCCCTGCCGTCCAGGGCACACTCCCAGTGACCTAAAGACCTCTCATGATGCCTCACTGTTTAAAGTTCCCATTCCTTCCCGAACAGCTAAGGAGCAAGCTGACAAGTGAGTCTTTGGGGGGCATTTGAGATCCAAACTCTAGCAACTAAATAAAAGTGTGTGTGTGTGTGTGTGTGTGTGTGTGTGTGTGTGTGTGTGTGTGTTGCGGGGGTACTAGAGAGATGGCTCAGTGGTTAAGAGCACTGGCTGCTTTTCCAGAGGACCTGGCTTCAACTGTTAGCACCCCCACGGTGGCTCATAACTGTCTGTAACTCCAGTTCCAGATGGTCAGACCCCAGAGAAGGAAGAGAAGACATGGAGGGTGAAGCAATGAGCCAATAGGGCTCGAGGGTAAGGGGTCTAGAAATGGAACCTTCCAGTAGCATCCCCTTCTCCCGTGTCTGCCACAGAACTCAAATGCCAGAGGCAAGGAAGTTCATCCCACACGGAGTCGCTAAAGCTACCCCATATGGAATTTTACATTCTTACTGTATTGGCTCAAAATTGAACAGAAGAAAGTGTAACCCAAAGAGAAGCCAGGAATAGTTCTTTGGTTTCCTTTGCCAAATTTCCTTGGGAAAAAAAAAAGTAAATGCGTGAGAATTTAAAATTAGATAATCAGCGAACAAGTATTTGCTGAGTATCCCATGTTGGGGGCCTGGCAAGCTTCCCTGGAAGCAACTAGAACAGACATCCTGGCCTGGGTTGCCACTAGACAGCCATGAAGCTGAATCAAGGCCAATACTCATTACAGGGGCCTGTTGGTTGTCATTCTGACAATGTGTTTGGGGGGCATTTGTTCCTTTGGGGCTCTCTTAGGTCCATGGTTGCTTATTTTCCCAGTGGGCATTTTACAGGAGTGTTGGGCTATCTCTCTCCCTCCTTCACTCACCATCCATCTCTGCTTCAGACAGCATGGCAGACCTGACTGTACAGTCTAAGCAACAGCAGGTAGACCACACTGCCAAGAGCCAGGATGACATTTGACATTCATGCAGACCTGGGTTTTTCTGCTTATTGCCTTGTATCTTGTCTGTTCCTGCTGCTATAACAAAATATCTTAGTCTGGGCACTGTATAAACAACAGGAATTGATGATGTAAAGCTTTGGAGGCTGGGGAATGCAAGATCAAGAGGTCAGGAAGTTCTACACCCGATAAGGGCTTGCTCTCTTGTGCTTTCTGGCTTAGTCCTCGTAGGGCAAAGAAGCCAAGTTCTCAGAAATGTCCTGATTCCTGGTGAGGGTGGGTTCTCATGACCTAATCATCCCCCAGAGATTTTATTTGCTAATACCATTACTATCTGAAGGTTAGGCTTCAACATTTCAACACAGAAACACCGATGGAACACAACATTCAGACCGTAGCTCCGAGTGACTCAGCTTCCACAAGTCTCATTAGCTTATTGGTAACAGAAAAGCTGCAGGAACAAAAACAGCCCAAGCATCACCACCTGTCTCCCACCCCAACAGACGGCCAAGCACTTTCTGTGATTTGGGGCACTGTCTGTGGCATCTCAGACCATGTCATTGAAGTCCTGTGGTCCCCTCTGTGCCCCATCTCCCTGCTTGTAAGACCTGAGTGCCACGTCACTTAGGGGCCCCATGTCAGTGACAAGTGGGAGCTGGGGAGCTGGGGAGCATGGGAGCAGTCTACACCTCATCCCTGAGCCTTCAACAGACTGGTAGAGGAGGTATCCCAGTCATCCTGCCATACACCCCCTCTCTGCTGGTCAGTGTTGGGGGATATTCGATCACATTGTGAGTCCCAAGTTTGCATTTGTGTTGATTAAATAAAATTGACCTTGAGTCAGGAGGCTGAGTTAGCAATTAGTTGACAGAAAGTAATCATAGAGCCTCAGAGGGCATCCGGGAGAGACGGAGAGACACAGGAAGTAGGAGGAAGGGGTTTGGAGTGGCCAAGCCTTTTCTGGTTTGGCAGAGTGGAAGCACAGGTCTTTCAGAGACACCAGCAAGGGGAGACAGTTAGCGATTTGCAACTCAGCCTCCCTGAGCTCGCAGGTTTTCACCCCAGTCCTTGAATTTTGAGTCTTATTTATAAATAGAATGAGGGAGATTTAGTTAAAGCTACCTTCAGTGGCAGCGACAGAGCCAGTGCCTGTGGGAACAGCGGCCTGAGTGGCCAGGCTGCCGCTAGAGAACTGGGAAGTTGCAATTGCTGGCTAAAATAGCAGTCGATTAGGGTGCAGCCACTGTGCCGAAAGGTAAAACCACAGGTCAGATGTAATCTCATTGCTGGATCTGATCTTAGTTCCAACCTTGGAATCAATCCTGCACGAAGCAGAAAACGAGCCCTGTGACCATCTGTAAGGCATCTGTCCATTCTGAGCGCCTTTCTCTTCATCATGTGACCTGCCCTTTTCATGTCAACTTACAACACTCAAGTGAGCAAATGATGACCAACCTCTCTTTAAGAGTGTAAAAGCCTCTCCCACAACAGAGCTGGAGAAAAATGGGAGCCGATTGCTTTTGTTGTCTATCAACCCAGCGGTAAATTTGTGGGAAGGCTGGATTCTCTTTTCTTAATAAAATCTCACTGGCCGATCTTAGCCTTCATCCAACAAAACATAAAAGTATCTGTAAACTATATATGTAATATATACATATATATATATATATATATATATATATATATTTTAGTTTTATCTTGTCAAGAGACTTAGTACATTAAAGATATTGGGGAAAGAGAAAGAAAACACGAGGCAGCTGCTGTAAAAGAAATTTGTAAGCATAGACTTTGTATAGGCACCTGTATTTGACAGATTGGATAAGTGGCATAATCTAGTTCAATAGTTCTTGAAGCAAAGCTACAAAGACCAATGATGACCATATTGGCCAATATGAGAACCAATATTAGCATTTCACCCATGGCTCCAACCTCAGCAGACATTGCTAATGGATTGCAGCACCTTTTCTCTCTGACCTGAGGCTGGACTCACATTCCTTCTCAATAAAATGCTTTAAGGTTTGCATTGGCATTAACATTTAAATGAAACAGTCAGATTTAACTATTTTTATTATTATTCTGTTATCCTTATTGTTCTAGAATATTTGAAGAGTGTAGTTAGATCAGCAAAGCCCATACAGCAATAATAGTTTGAAGCTATAATCATTTTTTTAAAGTTGATGTGGCCATATGCTAGAGGAAACTGCTTAATGAAATGTTCGGTTAGTTGGTAGTGGTTTATAGAAAGATCATCTACCAGGAAAGGGCCAGAAAAAGGGGGGAGTGGGCCTGAGCCTGCTGCAGTTGGAACTCAGCTCTTCTCAACTCCCGGAAGCCCCGCCCATACATAGACCCCTAAGAGTACCACCTATTTAAATGTCTGTGTATTTACATTTAGAGTAGGAGGTAGGCTAATTGAAATGAATTAAAATTTAAAGTGTATTTCTCCACTTCAGTAACCACATCTGACTGTTGTGTTCACACCATAGACAGAACACTTCCGTCACCTTGGCTAGGTCTCCCAGCCCTCAAAAGAAAACTCCACTGCCATCCTCTAATTCTGTACAATAGCCCAGCAACCTAGGGCTCAGCCTTACCTGGTGGGAGTCAGTCTCTTTGATGGAACAGCAGAAACTGGCCTCTAAACTCCCTTCCCCACCCATGCAGTCAGAAGAACTGGACTAGGAGCGTGGAAGAGAGAACCCATCAGTTTCAAAAATCAAAATTATTTCCTTCCACAAGAAAGTTACAAGAAGAACAGATGGCACTCTTTAAAAAATGAGAATCTGGGATCAGAGAGAAGGGAAGAGCCAAGAACAGGCTCAAGGTTGCTGTCAATTTTTTCCTGTCCCCTCAGCTTCCTTCAAGAGATCATAGATGTTTCTGTTAAAGGCACATGTGAACTTGAAGAGCTGGGTTGCCGAGGGAACTGTTAGATTCAGTTGGAAAGATGTTGCTTGCTCCTGCCCAGCCTCCTCGTGATCCTGTGAGTTCCTATCCGGACTGCCTGTCTGCTGTTCTGTGCATGAGGCAGAACAGAAAGCTTTGACCTTGGAGACACTGCATGGAATTTCCTGCAGATGGTTCTCAATAATAAGGTGTTTGCTCATTGGTTTCTAGGTTCTTTTTATTTCAAAGTAAAAGTGCAGTCAAATTGACCCTTGGGGAGAAAACAGATTAGGCAGAAAATGGTATCTCTTTAGATTTCTTACTCTAATGCCTGATTCCACCTCCCCGTGAAATTGTCCCACCAGGATACCGGCAGTAATAGAACAGACAGGCCAAGGGATGGGGAGGAGGGTGAAGCAGAGATCTCACTTCTGGGATCCTGAGATCCCAGCAGCTGAGAAGACAGAGGGTAAGTCTGGGAGGTCAGCAGAGGGTGAGTCTGAGGAGTCCCAACTGGCTAGGCAGGCCCCTAAGAGGTGGGGCACGGGTCTTGTTGCTGCCTGTCTGTTCCAGGCAACTTTGAGACCACAGGGGTCATTTGGAGGCACACCCTGCCCCTAACTGAGACAAAGAGATGGAATATGGGTATATAATAGCTAAATGGGTGGTAGCAAATGCTACTGAACCCTTTTATATGAAACACTCTCCATGAATGATCTCATCGATCTTTACAATAACTCTATGAAGTAGGTATCACTATGATTCTTCTCCAAGGTCACACAACTTATAAGTGGCAGAGCAGGAACATAACTCATAAAAATCCCTTATTATGGTGTTATTCAACCTTGAGGAAGCTCCGCTTTATGTGTGCTGTTATTGGGTGCTTACAGGATTTAGTCTACACAATACCACTGCCAATAAAAGTCTTACTCATATCTACCTTTTATATAAGAAGAATTAAAGGCCCAGCTAATTGTGGATGAAATAATTGTGGACACCAGGTCAAAGGATAGAGGTTAACATCAGCTTCTTGATGATTCTGAGGTGGGCACTGTCCTGAGCCACCATGTGCCCTGGGTCAATGTGGTCTGTGACCTTCCCACCTGCAGACTGGAGGCCTCCAACCCATTTCCCAAGGCAGACATAATCTATTGAGAAAGAGTTATGGCTCCTACTGGGAGCTGGACCCGCTTCCAGGGACACTTAGCCAATGAAGAAAGCAGAGGTTACAGCTTTTAGTAAATGCATTTCTCATCTTGTTACAAATGACCGGCCACGGCAATGACTCATCTCACAGGGCTGTGGCGTCCCTACCACAGCCATTGGAATCTGATCCCTTTTGATCCTGTTATATGTCCAGGTAGCTGAGGCTTCCTGAAACAGTGAAATATTTTCTTTTAAAGCGGCTATATTTCAGATGCCGGTGCCATGCCTTTCTGCCCTGGGACAAGTTCATCAATCACTCAAAGATGTTTTGCAAGCAGAGGGCAAATGCATTTCTCAGAGGAGCAGCCTCCACCCCAGTACCCCAATCCAAGAGCAGGTCAGGAAAGGGCTTGGGGTCCAGCCAGTCCCCTGTCTTCCAACACTAGCCATCTGGGAAGTGGATGTGCTTGCCTTCTGTTCCCACTGGGGGGTGGACATCCCACAAGATGCCTGGGACTCCTGCTTTTGGAACATGTGGGTTTCTGCCAACCTACTGTCCTCCGAGGAGGAGGGACGTTTTATAATTGAGGATTCTACTTGGAGAATCTAGCTGATTTATTTGCTTGAGTGTTCTAGACCCAGTATTTTTCCCCCCAGGGCTACTTGAGAGCTAAGAACTGGATTGGCTTAGTGTGTTTGGGAGAGTCCTTTATTTCGTGGGTACTGCTTGAGTGGTGGCCACCGCACTGTTCTCTCATAGAGGGGCTTAGAATAAAGAAGGGAGGTGTGGATACTTTGAGGGCCTCTGGGTCCTCTTGGGTTTCCAAAGAAGGCAGTCCCTCCAGAGAGCCCCTTCTCCCTTCATGGCAGACAGACTGGGGAGACCTTCTCTATGCATTTTCATGGTTCCTACGTCTCTAGATATTTTAGCAGAAAATCTCACACTAACCATCCAAACCAACAAAATCTGCCATTTGCAAGAATAATAATACAACAACCCCACACTTTTGTGGCAAAGTCTTGGAAGACAGATGGGTAGGTGAAATGAAGCATGAGGAATAGGCATATATAGAAGGAACTAGCATAGAGGGGACAGAGGTACCAGGAGATGGTGGTCATGACTGTGGACCTCAACCCACTTTTTTTATTTTTTAATTCCTGGCCATACCACTTTCCAGTAGTGATGCTGTGAGTGTTTTTTTGGTGGCTTGATCTGAAAATACAAAGTATTTCATGGAGTTGTTAGGATTAGGGCCAGCAAGATGTTTTATTGGTTAAAGGTGCTTGCTTCTCGAGACTGATAACCTGAGTTCAATCCCTGAACACGTGTAAAGACAGAAGGAGAAAACCAACTCCACAAATTTAGCCTCTGATTTCTACACTCGCACTATGGCATGCATATGCCTCCCCCATGATAACGATACTAATTGTGAATTAAACAAAGTTTATTTTATTTTTATTTTTGCATCCATGGGGGTTGAACTTAGGACTGTACGCATACTCTGTTTCATCCTACATTTGGAAGATGTAAAATAAAGCTTTAAAATGTATGGAGTTGGACAATATGAAACACTCAGTGGGTTGCCTGATATAGCTTAGACTCTTGGTAAATATTAGCTGTTAATATTTATGCCTAATTAAGAGACAACAGTGGAGTGGGGTGGAGACCTGGCCAGCGAGGTTTTGACTTACCCAGCTTGACTTCTCAACCACGTGGGCCACCATATTTTCAGGGACATTGTCCAATGAGTTGGGTCACTTTAAGCTACCATGAGCCATGAAGCTCGGCTTCTTAAGAGCGAGGTGGCTGCGAGGCAGGTGGTTTAGGAAGAGTTGCAGCTTGTCTCACATTCCCACCCACCTCATCCTGCATTTTCAAGAGGGATTTCTGAGCTGATTAAAGGTACAGTCAACATTCCTCCATGGAGAGAGGTGCAGGGCTTTGGAGGTCTTTCCCACCCTCTCCATCTCTCTTCTCCTCCTACCCCTCAGGCCGGAGCACCTGTGTTTCTTTTCAGTCTCTGCAAGAGGAGGGTGAACAGCGCTCAGGTAAACACACAAATGGAAGGGATGATTAAGTCTGGCAGCGTTTGAACGAGGCTCTGGCCCATGACACTACATGTATCCCTGAAAGGCCACTCATTTATGGCGTGCGCAGAATCCACAGGCAGAAATCAGTAACAAACAGCCTTGGCACTAAACAGAGAGGTGCAGCCAACCATGTTTATGAGCCGCAGGGAAATTTTCCCTGATAGAGCCTCAAGGGCTGGCCTATGGGTTGGTCCAGCTGTCTAATAAAAGCCCGTCTTTGTAATCGGCGCTCAGTGGAAACGTACCGTTTTCATTTATAGAAACAGTGAGGCCGCCTGCTATTTAAAGGGCCCCTCCTCCTCCTCTTCCTCACCCCAGGGCTGAGCTTTCCAGCATACTCCCTCAGCCAGCTGTGTCTTGTCAAAATCCCAGTCAGTGCCCCGGGAAACATGATTCTGACCGACCACACCGTGTCCTCTCTGCTTTTCAGACTCTGCCTGGAGTCCAGGGGTATGGCCTCACTCACAAAAATAGCTTC